GTTTTAGTTTGATGTGGTCCCATTTGTTTATTCTTTTGTTTCCCTTGCCCAAGGAGATATAGCCAAAACGATTTCTAGTAGCAATATCAAAGTTTACTGCCTATGTTTTCTTCTAAAGTTTTATGGTTTTGGGTCTTACATTTAAGTCTTGAATCCATTTTGAGTCTACTCTTTTGTATATGGTGTAAGAAGGTGGTCTAGTTTCATTTTTATGCATGTATACGTTCAGTTTTCCCAACATTATTCATTGAAGAGACTGTCTTTACCCCATTTTATATTATTGTCTCTGTCATATATCAAATGAGTGTATAGACATGGATTTATTTCTGGTCTCTCTTCTTGTTCTATTGATCTATGTATCTGTTTTTCCTTCACCAGGTTGGGGAAGATTTCTGTCATTATTTCTTCAAATAGATTCTCAATCCTTCACTCTCTTCTTCTGGTACCCCCATGATGTGAATGTTGGTATGCTTCATGTTGTCCTAGAGGTCTCTTAAACTATCTTTATTAAAAAAATTTTTTTTTCCTTATTGCTGTTCTGATTGGGTGATTTCTGCTACCCTGTCTTCCAACTCACTGATTCGATCCTCCGCTTCATCTAATCTACTGTTGATTCCTTCAAGTATATTTTTCATTTAGGTTATCGTATTCTTCTGTTTTGACTGATTCTTTTTTATGGTTTCTATGTCCTTTTTTATGCTTACTGTTCAAGTCCTCATTAAGATCATTTATTGTCCTCCTAAGTTCATTGAGCATCCTTATAACAAATGTTTTAAACTCTGTCTCTGGTAGATTGCTTGCCTTCATTTAGTTTAGTTTTTTCTTTTTATCCTGGAGTTTTCTCCTGTTGTTTCATTTGTGGCATGTGTCTTTGTTTTCTCATTTTAGTTGCCTCTCTGTGTTCATTTCTATGTTTTAGGAAGATTTGTTATGTCTCTCTGCCTTTCCCAGATGGCCTTATGTAGTAGGTTACTAGTGTGGCCCTGTGGCGTAGTCTCCCTAATCACCTGTGCTAGAGGCTCTGGGTGTATTCTTTGTATGGATTGTGTGTGTTCACCTGTTGTAGCTAAGGCTTTATTGCTGTTAGCATGTCAGTAAATGGGATTGACTCTCAGGCTTTTCAATTGGAGATTGGCCATGCCCACAAGGTATGAGTTGCTGTATGGAGGCTGACTCTTAGAGTAGAATTTGCCCTAGCAGGCTTGGGTACCTGTTGAGACCACCCTTTGTATGTACCACTTATGAGGCTAGTCAGGTGTTGCTCTGCTTTGTCTGATGCCAGCCTCCAGATGTGTTGGTTCTGTGGCCCCTTTGGAAGGGCTCCCAAGTAGGCCAAGGTCAGCTGCTGCCTTTCATTTTTTGAGGCTACCTGGTCGGAGACACAAAGCGATCATGGATGGTTGCCTTCTATGCTGGATGTGAAGGTAAGCGGGAGAGACAATGCTGTAAGCCGCAGTCCAGTTACCCCCAGTATCAAGCCTGGGGCAGTTTAGCAAAAGGTCTATTGCACCTTAAGCTCTGAGGTTGCCTACCAGTTACCCATAAGACTGTGCAACTGGAAGAGCCTTTTGGGTGGTACACGAATTGGGATGGTGGGGACCCAGGGAGTCACTGAGATAGAGTAAGCAGATTTCCCTTAGTCACTGCAGTGTCAATTTTCATGTTAGTGCTATCTATGGCTTCCTGTAAAAGTCTCAGATCACAGCAAGGCCAGTTGCTGCCCACTTCAGGTCTGCAAACACCTGAGGTCTTTTAAAAAATACTCTAGCTTGGGGCAGGGTTTGTGGCCTGCCACCTGTCTCTCCAGTGATGCACAGGCCTTGTGCGGGCTGCAGGAGCTGAGTGCTATTGTTTGCTATTGAGTTTGTAGCCCAAGGAAAGCACGGGGTGGGGTTGGCTACTTGGGAATGAGCATACCACAGGTAATTTATGGGTTGGGTGGGACAGGGAATCAGGGAGACGCAGCACCATCAGGCCAATACAGCATCAGAATTGCTGCCAGTTCTGAGTCTGTGAACTCCCTCAAAAGTCACAGATCACAGTGAGGACAGCTGCCATCTGCATCAGGCTCACAAAGCCCTGTGATCCATGCAAGAGATACTGCAGCTCATGCTGGCAGCAGTGGTCAGCCACCACATGTCTGCCCTAAATTGTGCATATTGATCAAGCCTAGGTTTGTTTCCTGCACAGAATGCATGGCCCCGAGAAGGGGCAGGGTAGGGGTGACTTCTTGGCAACAGGCCATTGTGGACAATTTGTGGTTTGGGTAGGGAGGGCTGATCTCACCAGGCCAATGCAGCTTCAAAATTGGCTGTGCGGGGGAAGGGTTCAACACAGGCACAATGGCTCCCATCTGTACACTGCTCTGGAGGGGGTTCCAAAAAAAGGAACAATGGTGGCTGCCCCTCCAGCCCTTGCTCTGGCATCATACAACTCAGTCTTTCCTCATATGTCTCTTGTGCCTCCTGAGCTGCCGACTCTCTGCTGGAGCCCAGGGTGAGTGTCTGCAGGTGAGTCTGTGCATGGGTACTTTAAGCGGGGGACATCTGGGTTTTCAGTTTCCTTCCATCTATCTCACCCTAATGGCTAGAATCTTCACTGATTTTTATAGTCAGATTTTGTGGTAACACTTCTTCCTGGGCTGCGGAGCCCCCCCACATAGGGCTAGGACTCCTGTCTCCTTCAGGGGTGCCTCTGCAGCCACACAACTGATCACATCTTTTTCTTTTTTTTTAAAAAACTACTTTCTCTTTTGCTTTCTTATATATTATTTTCTTTGTTTACTTTTGTTTCCCATATGCTTCCTAGATAACCACTTTTCAAAATCCACTTGTTTTTCTTGCTCCACCTATAGTACATACTTAGTGTGCATAAAGAATTTTATTTTAGGACTCATCCTCAATTTGTGTCTATATTCTGATATTTAGATTATCTTTCCTATGGCTTCATTTATCAATTATGTATCTACTCATTAGTGACTCTTAAATATACATTTCTATTAATATCTTTTCCTTAAATTTTAGACCCATATTTCTACTCGATGATTTGATTTCCCCATTCAGATGAGCCATGGGAAGCTCAAAGTCAATGCATTTAAAATTTAGTAAATGATCTTTCCTACCTCTAACCCAATTTTCCTCTTTATTTGTAAACTTGATTAATATTATTATTACCTGCCAAAAAAATTAATTCATTAAAAAAGTACTTATTGAATGCTAAAAATGTGTGAGAGGCTCTGCGCTAAGGGGGACTGTTCTCCTGGCCTTTCTTCAACTGCTCTGTCAATTAGGACCGAATCCTATTGATTATACCTCCTGACTATATTAGCTCTTATTATCCTATCCAGTGCAGTCCTTTAATTTAGCAGCTTAACACATTTTACCACAAATACTAGAATAATCTCCTTCTACTCTGTCTAATCTAGTATGTCTCTACTTCAATGCATCTTCCATGTTGTAACTGTAATTATCTTTCTAACAAACAAGTCTACTTATAGCAGAGACCCCTAGTTTCCTACTTAATATCAATTTTCCTTTTCTTTCTTGGCAACGGACTCTATATTGTTAATGGTGGTAATATAGCCACACAAAAATTTTTTTTTCAGTTTTCCTTGCAGATGGAGGTGCCAATTGGATATAAACAAATAAAGATATAAACAATTTAAAGGTAGCTAAGAGGTATACCATTTTGTCCTTTACATTTTTTTCCTTCTTCCTGACTGCAGCACTGACATGATGGCTAAAGCTCCAGCAGCTAATACGTGACCATCAGGGTGAAGCTAAACCACATACTAAGGATGGTTGAGCTAAGAGACATAAGGAGTCTGGGTTTCCAGTGAAACTGCATAACTGTCAAACCAGCTTTCGACTGTCTACCTCAGGATTTCAAATTATACGAGAGAAAAATAAACCTCTATCATATTTAAACTATTATTATTTTTAGCAGTATTACTAGCTACCTTTGCTTACAGTATGATCTCTTACTGACACAATAATGGCTTACATTTCAGTTAAGAAACTTTAAGTTTGAAAACTGGTTCCAACTTATTTTTCTAGCCTCAGATCCTTTCTTTTTTTTTTCCTCTTTTTTCCCATCTGATGCTTCGGTATACTGAAATACATAATTTATTTGCAAAAACTGTACCTTCTTCTGGGAAGATTTTCACCTTCTCTTTGCCTGGCAAAATGCTTATTCTTCAAAACTGAAATTAAGTCATTTTTCCAGGGGTGATGTCCTGGATGTCCCTGTATAGGTTTAGTGTTCTTTCCTCTGTGTTCTTACAGTACTTTTTGCATTCTGCTACTATGATAATTGCCATCATATTTATTGATGTTGTTTATATTACTCTCATTTCCACAATAAGCTGTGAGTTGGATTTCTATGTATCTCCTCTTAGCCCAGGGCTTAGTACAACTTGGTACAACATTCCTTTGTTGAATACATAAAGAAGCTGCCTATCCCTTTTCTATTTGAAGCTTTGACATTTTGTTGCTAATTCTGTTACTATTTAAGGTATAAAAAATGTAGATGGATACTAAAGACTGAACCATAATCATATTTAAATTCTTATTTGGTTCCAGGTTTTAGATTGTTGCATTATATCTCTCTGTAGACTCTTTTTATTTTGCCAGTCTCTCAAATATGAATTTGAACCAAAATGTCAGTAAATGTGACACTAATTTACTGAACCTAAATGTTAAAATTTCCTTTATTAAGCTTCTTACTAGATCAATTTAAAAAGACAAAACACTGTAAGCCATTATGAAGCAGAATGAAACATGTGAATGTTTAAAATTTACTAAAAGAGCCAACAAAATATGCTCCAAATTCAACCTAAATTAAATTGCCATTTTTCATTTGGTTGAAGTCATACTACTTAAAAAGTCATATTAATCTTTTTAGTTTAAATTTCCACTTTGTTACTTATTTTATTGTCTGCTCAAGTCAAATGTGATTATAACTTTCATTTCGTTCTCATATTCTTCTAGAAATTAAGATACCTGCTCTCCTCCTCTGTGAAAGAGGAATATGGGCACGCTGGAATTTTTCAGTAACTTCTTCAAACTTCTGTTTTCTTTGTTGAAGTATTTGTTCTCTGATTTGGTGTTCTCTTTCTTCTTGTTCTTTTCGTTTCTCCTCAAAAGCTCTATATTTAAAACATAAAGAAGATAACAGAATTAGACAATAAATTTTTAAAATCTCAACACAAAATACTTTAAAAACAGTGCATTTCTTATGCAATGATGTTTTTATACTTAAAACGTTTACTTACTTAGAAATAACACATTTGAAATGGAAAAAAAAAGCCCTCAGCTAAGAATTTAAATATATCTGTAAGTGGTCATTTCAAAACTTTATCCAGGTCTTTTGCTACAGTGGAGTTTGCAGGAAGATGGAGGACTACATAAAAGCAGGATTTGTCTCCTCCCAGGTCCGCATTGAAATTACAACCAAATTATAAAATAATCAACGTGGAGGATCACCTGAAGTCCAGCTGACTGTTAACACCTATGTCTGATAATATAAAGGAGCCACATCTAAGCCGGTAGGAGGTGCAAAGTCGTGAATGGGGCTGGACCTGCACCCTCTTGTGGTAGAGGATCACAAGGAGGGAGAGTGAGGCTGCAGAGGCTCTCCTGAAGGAGAGCCGGGTCCTGGCCTCATTCAGGGGCTCGCCAACCCAGGGTCCCAGCACAGGGAAAAAGAGATTCCAATAACTCTGACTGTAAAAACCAGAGGGGATTCCGGCCATCTGGGTGAGATGGAAGGAGACTGAAACCCTTGACATCCCTTCGAAGGACCCGCTCATAGGCTTTCTGACCTGTGGACACTCACCCAAGACACTGGCAGTGGGTCAGAGGCTCACCGGGATCCATAATGAGAAAGTCTGTATTATCTGGTGCCAGAACAAAGGCTGGAAGAGCAGCCACCATTGTGCCTTACTCCAGCCCCTCTACTGGGCAATCTACAGACCACGCCAGCTTGACTGTGCAGACCCCTCCCACAGGGACATTAGGAAGCACTGGCCTGAGAGATTCAGCCATCGCCTAGGCTTTTGTTGCTGATGGTTACCACGCCCTGCACCAATTCAGGCCCAAGCATTCCCAGTTGGCAGCTAGTGCTGTGAACCGCAATTCCAAGATAGTTTCAGGCAGATCACTGTTGCCAGCACAAACTTGGGTGGATATCTGGGACCTGTGGGCCAGTCCCAGACAGCAGCTGGTCTTGCTGTGATCTGGGACTTCTGTGGGAATGTGGGAACGGTTACTAAAGTTTCAGCAAGACTGAGGATATATTGATCTGACTGCAATTGTCTCTCTGAGACCCCACCCCACCCTACCCACAAATTGCCCCAGGCAGGCCCATTGACATGAACTGCCATAGCCCTGCCCTTCCCCTACCATCTCCCAATCTACACAACTTTGGCTAGCACAGGGCGGGCACTGCATGGAAATCAGTGGCAAGCACACCTCTGCTGCTTGACTGGGGAGCACAGGGGTCTGTGGATGGCCCCAGACTTCAGTTGGTCTCACTGTGGTCTGTGACTACAGCGGGAATGCCTAGGCACAGAAGTTGCAGCAAAACTGAGGCCCTTGCCTCCCTGAGATCCCACTTCACCCAAGCCACAAAAGGCCTGCAGCCCATTGACAGGCAGCCTCTTGTGCCCTCCTTGGCTCTGGGGTTGTGCAGTCTGCACAGGCAACAGACCTTGGCTAGTGCAGTATGCGCATTTTGGGGAAAATAGTTGTGGGCAGGCCACTGCTACTTGTAGGAGCTGCAATCTCTTGAGGGGATTGCAGGGATCTGTATTGGCCTGATAGCCCTTGACTCCCTGAGCTCTTGCCCCATTCAATACACAAAGTGCCCACCGCATGCTGATAGGAAGCTGCCTTTGCCCTGGGGTGGCACATTCAGGTCCAGGTGGGCAGCGGCTGACCTTGCAAAGATTGGAAACTTGTATAGGAGCCACAGAGACAGCGTTGCATGTAAATTGACACTGCAGTGGCAGGGGGGGAGTTTATTCAATAGATCCAGGAGACTCCTGGGGTCCCTGTACCACCCAACGCACATATCACCCAGAGGCTCTTCCAGTTTCAGAAACTTATGGGCAACTGACAGGCAGTGTCAAACCTGGAGGAGCACTGGTCCCTCTGCTAAACTGCCTCTAGGTCAGGGACAAGGGATAACCGACCGCTGCCTATAGCGTTATCTCTTCCACTTACTTATAGATCCAACATAGGCAACAGCCATCTGTGTATCACTTTGTAGTTCCCACTGGGTAGCCCTAAGCAATCAAAAGCAGTGGCTAACCTTGGCCTACAGGGGAGCTCCTCCCAAGGGACCACAAAACCAACGCATCTAGAGGCTGGCATCAGATAGCAACAGAGCAACCCCAGACTAGTCCCATTAGTGGTACCCACCAAGGGTGGTTGCAACAGGTACACGAGCCTACTAGAGCAAATCCCACTCAGTGGGCTCAGCCCCAACACAGTAACTCTTACTCTGTGGGTGCAGCCAATTCCCACAATTAGTCAGCCTGAGCCTCAATCCTATCTACTGATGTACTAAGAACAATAAAGGCTTGGCAACAACAGAAGATCACACACAACCCACACAAAGATCACGTCCAGAGACCCCGGCATAGGGGATCAGAGAGAGTGTGCCACTGAGTCACACAGGACACCTTCCACATTAGGCCATCTGGCCAAGGCTGAGAGATGAAACAAATATTCCTGACACATAGAAATGAACATAGAGAGGATAATAAAATGAGAAAACAAAGAAACATGCCATGAATAAAACAACAGGAGAAAACTCCAGAAAATAAGCTAAATGAAATGGAGGCATGCAACCTACCAGAGACAGAGTTCAAAATAATGGTTATAAGGATGTTCAACAAACTTATGGGAAGAATGGATGAACACAATGAGAACAGTGACAGGAGATAGTAAGCATAAAAAAGGACAAAGAAACCATAAAAAAGAACCAGACAGAAATGAAGAATACAATAACTGAAATGAAGAATACATTAGAAGGATTCAACAATAGATTGAATGATGCAGAAGATCAAATCAGCAAATTGGAAGACAAGGTAGCAGAATACACCCAGTCAGAACAACAACAACAACAACAAAAAGAAAAAAAATGAGGATAGTTTAAGAGACCTTTGGGGCAATATGAAGCATAAAAATAGCTGGATCATAGGAGTACCTGATGAGGAAGAGAGAGAGCAAGAGTTTGAGAGTCTATTTGAAGAAATAATGACAGAAAACGTCATCAACCTGGCAAAGGAATTAGACGTACAAGTTCAGGAAGCACTAAGAATCCCAAACAAGAGGAATTCAAACTAAGACACATCATAATTAAAATGCCAAACATCAAAGACAAAGAGATAATCTTAAAAGCAGCAAAAGAAAGGAAGCTAGTTACTTACAAGGGTACCTCCATAAGAATGAATGCTGATTTTTCAATGGAAACTTTGCAGGCCAGAAAAGACTGGCAAGAAATATTTAAAGTTATGAAAAACAAGAATCTACAACCATGAATACTCTACCCAGAAAGGCTTTCGATTAAAATGGAAGGTGAAATAAAGAACTTCCCAGACAGAAAAAGGCTTAAGGAATTCATCACCAACAAGCCAATATTATAAGAAATGTTAAAGGGTCTTCTGTAAAAAGAGAAAGTATAAAAAAGAAAATATAAATAACAAATATGAATAATAAAATAGCAGTAACTATCAGTAATCATTTTAAGTGTAAATGGATTAAATGCTCCAATCAAAAGACATAGGGTAACCAAATGGATAAGAAAACAAGACCCATACATATACTATCTATAAGAGACCCACTTCAGAGCAAATGAGACTCACAGACTGAAAGTAAAGGGATGGAAAAAGATATTTCACGTGAACGGAAATTTAAAAAAAAAAGCCAGGGTAGAGATACTTATATCAGATAAAATAGACTTTAAAACAAAGGCTATAATGAGAGAAAAAAGGGCATTACTTAATGATAAAGTGATTGATAAATTAAGAGGACATAACCTTAGTAAACATATACACATCCAACATAGGAGCACCTGCATACATAAAGCAACTATTGACTGACATAAAAGGAGAGATATCAATAGTAATACATGCATAGTAGGAGACTTTAACACCCCATGACACCAATGGACAGATATTCCAAGCAATAATTCCAAACAAGGAAGCAATGGGCCTAAAAGACACACTAGACCAGATGAATTTAATAGATATTTTCAGAGCAGTTTACCCCAAAGCAGCAAAATATATAGTCTTCTCAAGTGCACATGGAACATTTTCTAGGATAGAACACATGTTAGGACACAAATCAAGTCTCAATAAATTTAAGAAGATTGAAATCATATCAACCGTCTTCTCTGATCACAATGGTATGAAACTAGAAATCAACTACAAGAAAAAAACTAGAAAATACAAAAACACATGGAGGCTAAATAACATGCTACTAAACAATGAATGGGTAATTAATGAGATCAGGAAGAAATCAAAAGATACCTAGAGACAAATGAAAATTAAAACACAACAACTTAAAATCTATGGGACACAGAGAAAGCAGTCCTAAGAGGGAAATTCATAGCAATACAGGCCTACCTCAGGAAGCAAGAAAAAGCTCAAATAAACAATCTAACCTTACACTTAAAAGAATTAGAAAAAGAACAGCAAACAAAGCCCAGAGTGAATCGAAGGAAGGAAATAAGATCAGAGTGGAAATAAATGAAATAGAGTCTAGAAAAATGATGAGAAAGATTAATGACACCAAGAGATGGTTCTTTGAAAGGATAAACAAAATTGACAGACCTTTAGCTAGACTCATCAAGGAAAAAAGAGAGAGGACTCACATACATAAAATCAGAACTGAAAGAGGAGAAATAACTATGAATTCCACAGAAATACAAAGGATGATAAGAAAATACTCTAGCAATTATATGCCAACAAATTGGACAATATGGAAGAAATGGACATATTCCTAGAAACACATAATATCCCAAGACTGAGTCAAGAAAAAACAGAAAATCTGAGATGACCAATTACCACCAATGAAATAGAATCAGTAATCAAAAAATTCCCCAC